TGATCTGCCTCCTCTCCCGATCCCTAGTAAGCTGATAATCTTGATTAGGTGGTTGATCATTAAAATGTTCAACTTCAACTGGTTCAATGTTATCTTGAAGTTCAGTCACCTCTTCAGGTTTAGGTTCAATTTCAATTTCATTTTCATTTTCATTTTCATTTTCATGATGTATAGGGTCATTTTCGTCATTCCCAGGTGTAGGTGAATTTAGCCTAGTCAGCTTCACCTCAGTCTGAATACTCTTCTCAGTTTCAGATTTGTTAGTTTCTTCGGTTTTCTGTTTTAGACATGGCATCTCAGATTTATTAAAGACTACATTCCTGCTGTTAATAATCTTAATGCCTTGGACCCCTAAAACCCATAACCTATAGCCCTTCACACCCTCGGGATACCCTAACATCACACACTTGACAGCCCTCGGCTCAAGTTTCCCTTCAGATTGGTGTGCATATGCAGCACATCCAAACACCCTCAAGTGTTCTAGATTTGGAGGCTCTCCCGTCCACAACTCCTGTGGGACCTTAAACCCTATACTGCTGGACGGAGACCTATTAATCAGAAAAGATGCAGTACTTGCAGCTTCAGCCCAAAAATCTTTCGCAAGGCCAGAGCTAATCAACATACACCTAACTTTGTTCATTATGGTCCTGTTCATTCTTTCAGTGACCCCATTTTGTTTAGGTGTGTATTTAACAGTTCTGTGTCTTGTTATACCTTTCTGCTTACAGAAGTAGTCAAATTCGCTATTACAGAATTCAAGCCCATTATCAGTTCTTAACGTTTTAAATTTCTTGTCTAACTGATTCTCAACAGATTTTAACCAAATCCTGAATTTCCCAAAAGTTTCCGACTTAGCCTTCAAAGGATAAATCCAAACTTTTCTTGAGTAATCATCCACTAAGGACAAGAAGTACTTGCTCCCACCAAATGTGGAGTGCTTCTCCGGGCCCCATAGATCAGCATGGACATAGTCCAATGGTCTGCTGGTCCTATGAGAGCTAGTTTCAAAGCTCACCTTATGAGACTTACCCAAAACACAAGTTTCACAGAATTCCATATTTTCAATATCATCTTTTCCAAGTAATTTCTGATTACTTAAAGATTTTAGCCCTTTAAACCCAATGTGACCCATTCTGTTATGCCAAAGTTC